TGATTGCCAAACTCAAATACTTAAACTTATTTTTATAACCTTTTGAGAAACACATTTACATGACTGCAGAGTCTTCATATCTATGCTAAATTTTTGCTCAACTAGACAGATTTTAGGAGATGAGATACTTTGGAAGAGGATATATGGCAGGTTCTTTCCCTTCCAAAAAATAGAACATATCCTACATGCATGCATTCTATATTCTCCAATCTTTACTTTTCATTGGAGGGAGATTTTTATTTCCATCTTTTTGTCAAATTAATATCCATGTGCCATACTATATGGGAGAGCAGATGGAGAGAAGTCTTAGCAATGTAATCTCAGCTCTTGCTGTGGTAACATGCTTTTAGCATGCTCAAAGACCATTTCTCCTGACTAATATGCATTACTGAAGCACTGTCTTTTCTTCCTTTAATGAATGCATCCCCTTAAATAGGCTCATAAACTATAGTGTTGTTGCCATCCTTTCCTTTAGCATCATCACACCAGGAAGTCAATGGGCTCTAAAGAAAGGCACATATTTGGAATTGAGGCTAGCCTGGTGATTTTGCCTGGTAGATTTTTGTGTTTTAGTAGCTGGAATTGTCCACAGTAACACAGGAGAAGCAAGACCACTGATGCTAGTAAACAAGATGCACTGGAACAACTAAATAGTGTTGAGTTGAATTCCCATCAATAGAAACTTTTAAAGCATGGTTGATTTTCTTTAAAAGAAAATATTCCAGTTTCAACCATAGCTATTGGACTGAAAGCAGAAATCAGTTCAGGAGAGGCCAATGGCATGTGCATGGAGTAGGTCAGATTTGATGGTTGCAGTGGTCCTTTTTGATTTTAAGATCTTTGGCTCTAGGAAGAAAGTTCTGAACTTTGTTTGCGGGGAGAACGGTGGAAGTGTAAAGGTCACTTTTAGTCATTGTTATTCTCAGCTTTTGACATCAGTAGTAATAATAGCTTCCCACCATCATACCCCAGGAGCCTCAGCTTCCCCATTAGTCTTTTTCTTGACATATCTTTTATTTATTTGGTTTTCCAACAGTGACATACCTACTCTGTTGTCATTCTTTCCCTCTTACAGATTATTACATTGCTGTGAAAGCACTTTGGGCACCAACCAAGTATGTTGCTAAATCATTTTGCCTCTTTGTTACATATTTTACCCTGTGCTTTGTCTGGGTTTTGTCAAGGGGAACCTTGGGCTTGCCCTGTTGAAGTTGGCTATAGAACTCATCTTGACTTAATGAGAAGGGATCATGCCCTTTTGTTTTATCTATGAAGGAACAATATTCAAAAACAATAATGTTAATTAATAAAACTGTGGCTGCTTATAGTAGTGCTTTCAGAAGCAGTGACACCCTAGTTATACCCTAGGTTCTTTGGTGCTCAGACTTTCTTCTCAATAAGCATTTGTGCAGTACCTAGTACAGTAGAGCCTCATTTTAATTGGGCTGTTACTGGAACATAAATAAATAATAATGATAATAAATGTGATTTTTTTTTTTCACCAAAAATGTTAAAGCCCAGATACGGGCAGGTCTAGGATTTTGAAAATGGGAGTGTAGATTGTGTGATGCATTATCACGTGTAACACTTCATCCACTTTTCTCCAGTTAAAGAGAAACTAGAATTTGTACTAATATGCTAGGGGTCCAGCGTTATATTACTCAGTTTAAAATCAAAGCAAAACCAAATTTAACTTTATTGGAATGTGCACTGATTTGTTAGATTATATATTCATTCTAAAAAACAAAACAAACTAGCCAAAAAATAGTCAAAATAGTCAAAAAAATATTGTTTTATTGGTCCTATACATCTCTTAAATATAATTCTCTTATTCAGACTCGTGAAACAAAACCTTGTCTTCCTGAGCACCTTGACAGTGCCTCCATTACTTCCCTGTCGGTCATTTCCACACCTGAGTTAATATAACTACATGTGAGTTAAGGTTTTTAGCTAGAGCTAAAAACAAACTGCAGGACTTTGAAATAGAAGAGAGTCATTACCAGGAATGGCTAACAGACAGCAAAATTGCAGAAGAAAGGATAGGTTGAATAATCAAATATCAAGACCATTAAAAAGGAGAGAGGGTTGTTTTAATACCTGTGGACTGAAAATACCAGGAATCAGGTAGATTTTACTGAGCCATGAAGTCAAATGGCTATCTCAATGCTGCCTAAATAGAAATGCCACTGCCTATCCCAGGCAGTTGTTTTCAAATTTGGATGGATTAAGAATCAAAGGGGCAGGGGAGCAACTGCACCATTGCAAATGCACCACTGAAACTCCTTCCCCGCACCTCCCTCGGATCCACCCTGAGTGTTTACAAGCATAAAGAAATGCACGTTAACAAACATTACCAGTTTTGGAAAACACATATTCAAATATAATGTGATCTGTATTTTTCAGTATAAAGAAATGGATTTGTTTATACAAAGTAACGTCACAAAAAAGAAAAAAAATTTGGAATAAAAAGCAATATTTCAGAACTCTTAAAGGTATTCAGTAATTGAATCCTTTGGTTCATTGAAAGTTATATTGGCATTAATTTTAGTATTTTCCACATGGAGCTTGTACATTTTGCTAAAATGTTTGTCAAAAACTCAACACTGAGATCTCAACACCTCTTCTGAAAACCAGTGTAAATATATAGTCTTTTTTTTGACCTTGTTAAAAATACTCTGTAGATGAGAAATCAAAAAACAGATCAATACCTTGACTTTACAGAAGACAGCCCTAGAGCAGAGCGTGTGCTCAGAAGTAATGCTTCTCCATGTCTTGGGCTTTCTGCAAGAGGAAATGTTATACAAACATATACATATAGATACCTTTGGACATTTTAGAAAACTCTTTAGGTGTCAACTCAAGAATCTGTTCTAAAATCCTCATTGATTTAAAAAAAAGTATTTATTACATACTGGAGTGTGGGTGGTCTAGCTTAAGTTAGTCACCCAAAGTGTGGGTGTAGTCCAGGTTGACTCCCAAGAGAGCTGGGGCTGGTATTAGAAATGGATTCAGAAGTCGTAGCCAAATTCAGGATGAGCCAGGACTGGTTGGTCCAGGAGACTGGCAGGTCTGCAGGGGGGACAGGTATGGGGAGGGAGCTGGTGTGTCCAGGGGCCTGCTCCTGCAGGGGTGTGCTGGTTGAGGGACTAAAAATAGCCAGATCAAGTGGAGGGGTGTAAAAACAGCACAGCCCCAGGGCTGGGCTTTCTCAACCCCAGGACTGTTCTGGGAATGTGTACAAGCATTCATAAGGCAGGTTACCCCATTTTAGGTCAGGTCTAATCCTAAAATTAGTTCTCATTTAACAAGAACTAACTTTAGATTGGGCATGCCATTTTTAAAGTGACCTAAGCCCTGTAAATGTTTGTGCACACATTTCAATTGCCCTGAGCTTGGTTAAGGCAATCTAAATGCATTGCTTGTATGTACCCTTAGTGTCTTTTAAAGCTACTTTTTAACAATGGAAAAGATGAGGGTTTTTTGCTCCCAGCCAAGCTAGTTTCATCTCCGGTGAAGGAGATCACATTGTGTTCATCTGAAATGATCTGTTATTTCACAACGGCAAGAGGAAAACCCTCTTAAATTGTAGCTAGAAGGCAAAGTCACTTACTTAGGACATAACGTATATCCCTTCTGTAGAGCATACCGACATGTATTAATAAAAATGTTGAGGTATGTTAACTAGTTACAGTAGCAGCATTTAATATTAAAGCTGAACTCTTACCTGTAGAAAATCTCTGACAGTAAGAACCGCTAAAAAGCTTTTTGAAAGTAGATCTTGGTGTATTTGAAGAAGATCTGATACTGATCTTGTTCTACAATGCAATGGTCAGTGAGGCTAAGCTCAGTAAAGTCAGCTGCTGTACAAAATCAAAAGGTGTTTCAGTTGCTTAGTTTAGGTAAGAACAAAAGTTTAATTATTACTGCCAGATCCTATAATTAACATGAGACATCTGAGGATTGAATTATTCTATCACTTTTATTTCTGAGGAACAGTGTTCAAAATCATTCAGTATTAGCCTAACTCCACTCTCTTTGAAGACAATTGGGCGTACAATGCCGTTCTTCAGAAGCATAATTAAACCATCACAGAGAGTTCTTGAAAATCACTCCTATGAAATTCCACTGATCTCATTTCTTCGATCTGTCTGGTACCCAAATTATTTGCATGCTCCCAGCAAACAAACAAATCTGTGAAATCCACATTTCACATGTTTGTGAGAGTATACATGTGTCAGCCATTGGTTGATCTAAACAGGGCACATCTACACAAGACGCTTAATGTGCAGCAGGCTAATTCTACTGTGTATTAGCACATTGTGGCAAAAAACATGCTGATGTGCTAATGCACAGTAGAATTAGTCTACGTTATCGACCACAAAAAGACTGTGCACTATTGCTACTGTGCATTAGTGCCAGCTACTGCGCATTTATGTAGAGCTATGTACCTCATATTAGAGCTACTAAACATAATGCTCAATAGCAATAGCACATTAATGCACGTGTAGATGTGCCTGTCATGTAGTACAGAGTAAAATGATGCATAAAATGTGGGCCAAATTACCTTTTTCCAAAATACATTTGTAATTTTTTTTTAGTCGCTTCACCATCACTGAATTATTTTAACTATATTCCAAATGTCTAGATTTTAGATTTGATTTGAAATATTTTGAAAATTATTTGAAAGATATAATGCTGAGCGTGGCTTATTTTCAGTCCTCATTTGAAAGAATGGATATCTGGCAGCTTTAGTCTATTTCCATCAAAGACTTTTTACAATTAACCAGAGACATTTTCATGTACTAAAACCTTCAATATTTGCAGTCATACTTTTCCTTATCTCATGCACACTCCTGTTTGCCTGTAACTGTGACCCCTTATAGGATTTTCTGTTTCCTTACTTGTGCATATTCATTTTTATATTCTCTCTGATGGAGCCATGGTAGAATAAAAGTCATGATATGAACTTGTTATTGCAGATGTGCTCTTTTTTTTTCCAGGGGCCTCTTAGCTGGCAGCTTCACAGAAACACACTATTTAAAAGACGGCACTGATGTTGTTCTTGCATACAATTACACGGTAAGGTTTGTGTTTTGGAGGGTAGATAACGCTACATCATTAAAACACATTAACACTGCCAGGATTTCAGGTACCTAGGATGATTTAAAATAGCTGCATAACCTTTTCAGATGTTCCCCTTTTAGATGATTTCTGTTTTCCTAGGCAAGGATTTTTAAGGAGAGATTTTCAAAATGAAGGTAGGTAGGTTTTTTTTACCATGTCTCTCATTAAAATCTATGAGATTTGTATAGTTAAATGTAAGCAGTAAAACCTTGTGACAGGCTGCAAGCAGCCATTGTTGCACATAATAAGGAGGGAAGCCCTGATTCAGTTAGAAAGACAGCCCTGACCAGCTGGTTTACGCAGTGCAGAAGCTCACATAAGGGGATTCCAAGGTCTCTTTGGCCTACCGCACTGCAAAAGCCAGATGTGTCTTTTGTTTTTTGTTTTTATTGAATCAGACTCCACGACAGTTTAAGAAAATTGGCCAGCCTGTTCTTTGTTAAAATCAGCACAAAATGCCTTTTTTTTCTTTTCCATAAATAATTTAAACTATTCTTTATAAATAAACAACTGCTTTAAGGCACTAACATTTTTGTCCTTTGACGGTAAATATGAACTCCTTAATTAAAAGCAATGCAGCAAGCGATTTCAATTACCAAGTTTATCTTGTAACTGACTGGGTAGACCCAACTCCTATGGCATATTAGTTTTGTTATTTATTTATTTATTTATTGTATCAACAGAAGCATCATTCTTCAGGTAGTCATCTGTAATGGGCCTTACTGATGTCAATGGACATCATTTCAGTGCCACCAAAGTGTCTTCATTATACCCAGACTTTATAGCCAAATAAAGCAGTCACTCTTTTAAAACACAAAGCATTCACCTCTTTTTTGGTAGATGCTCATCTCTGGTTGCAAATTACTACAAGACAAAAATCACTGTTCATTTTATAAATCTATCTTTGGAAAACTGTACATTACTTCTCAGCATTACTTTATAAAGGGAAATAACATTATCTGTGTTATTGATGTGCTGAAATGGAACAGAAAAAGGCTGGTAAATGAAGGAAAATGTCAAAATAGTTAAAAACTAGTAATATTAAAAAAAAATTAATATACACATTTTGTTTGGCTCACCATTGCAGCAAACCAATCTTAACTAGCTGTTTATTGCTGACTTTAGAAAGGACTAATCTTTAAAAATACATTTAAAAGAAATATTTTAAGTAGTTACAGAACTTTAGCACATTGATAATGGCAGAAAGCCCCAGATAAATAGTACAAACCATTAAGTTTACTACCTAAAAAAATTCATTTTAGGAGACCAACAAATGCATTTTTGATCAAGAGCCACTGCAGTATTGTTTAAAAGAAATAAGTCTTTGTGAAGTCCTCTGATTTGATTTTACATTTGTTTTTCATTCAGGGCAGCCAGATTATCTGTAAGGGGATAAATCAAGTCCCTACTCTAAGATTACTCAATCAAGCTCTGCCTGTAGGTAGAAACTAAATCAAGTTTTGGATAATATGCTATATTGAAACCTAGGTCTGAGAATTTGTTCAGTGTGGATGTCACTATTGTACTCTTTCTGCATTAATAGGTCCATAAAACTATATCATTGTCAAAAGTTAACCACTGCTTTGTTACTTAATGGTATGAACTAAAGCTTAGTTTTTCAATACAATAAGTAAATTGTAGGAATGATTAGTATTTAGGGCATCCTCTACTTTATAGAGTAGTTTGCAACTGCAAAAGCCTTTTTTTCAAGGGGAAAAAATCCTGTAGCTCAGCTGAGTTACTGAGCCAGAAATCAATTTTCTACCAATCCAATCGCAGGATATGCTCTGATAAATTTACAGTTTAAGGTATTGAACTTGAAGGAACTTTACTTTCTTGCAGCATGTGAATCTTTAAGAAATTATGAAATTGAGTACAAACAAGGAGTTCAGAGTTAATAAAATGTCAAGTTGTGTGTGAAGGGGAAAACTCAGGACCGTTGTTCTAATACTTTCCATGATAATAGTGGTTACACTTTTGCAGCAGTCTCTATCAGAGGAGCTGATAGTATCACTTTCCTATTCCACTGAATAGTTCAGTTCTTATACCTAGCACACAGGGTTGTCTAGTTTATAGGTATAAACTATTTTCCTGCCTTTTTTAGATTTCAGACTACTATTATCACTTTTGGAAATACTAATATTACCAGACTGTTTCAGCGTCACTGAATGAGAGCTCAGGTTTTTCTCCACTTAAGTACTGGGTCAGTAGTACTGATAATTTTAAAATCAAGCAGAAATGGTAGGTTCATACCTAACCTGCATGCCCTTTGTAATTGTAGGTTAAGCAAACAAGTAGAGAAGAGTCAGTACATGGAATTTTTCTTCTGTCTTTCTTTAATACATTACAAGAGCTTGGAAAAGATAATAAAAACACCAACACCACATTTTTTTTCTGTTTATTTACTCTAGCAAGTCATGTATGTTTGTCCAACAATTACCCACTGTTGTTTTGTATTCAGCAACATTGTCTCATGATCAAAGTACAAATGTTCTAAATAAACATTTTTATGGGGTGTAATTAAATTTGCCAGAATTTCATATCTGAATTATCCTTGTTTGCCCCAGTCTTTTCACGGTTATTGCTTTCTGTAACAAAATCAAGGTGGTCTTTAGAAATACGCTATTTGAGGCTGCATAATTGAAAACCATGCAACGACACTGAAAAGGTTAATTAATGCAGCTAGATGTAAATGAATTGAGTAATAAAAAGGCATAGTGAGATGACTGTCAGGTTTAAACATGAGTGATAACTTCTCTTTGCACGAATAAGATAGCAACCTTTTACAATGGTGTTTCAGCTTCTAAATGGCAGTCAGAGGAGTTGTGAATACAAAAATGCTGGACGTGACACAATCATTACTTTGCAGCCGGTCACATAACTGGGAAAATAATATAACCTTTAGTCAACAATAAAATTAACCTTGATTCCAGAGAGATACATACCTGTGTGGTGAAGGAATTTGTGTTGTCGTTGCCTTTTGCAAGCAGTTAGCTTATTAAAGTAATACAATAACCCAGCCACAACGTGGAAATGGGATTGTTGTCTCTCAGAATAGAAGACCCTCTTATTCTTGATTACTCTCAATAATGCGAAAGTACTCTGTTGGGTAATTCAATAAAATGCTTCCCTTCCAACCCACCTTTCATTTTCTCAAGCCATAGGTTTGGGATTCATTTTATTAAACTTCACAGTATGCCTAATTACTTCCTATAGATCTACATCTTATTACTAAAGACAATTTGCATTGAAGTAAAATGTTGATGTCAGGGTGATTTGTTCTGCTGCTTAATTTTATAAGATGTTCCATATCATAGCTTGCAAATAATATAATCAAAGAGACAATAGTTTTCATATATTTTGAAACCTGCTGTTGATCTTTAGTAAATTAGGGACACTGGGTATTGGTATGGAGACTCTTGTAATCTATCATTAAATATTGAGAGTGTTATTCAATATTTCATGGAGTCAGAAAGATGCTATCAGTGGGATTCAGGATGCTGTAGCTGAAACCAGAGAGGGTTTTAAGATAAATAGGACTCAAAAACCTATAAAAAAAACCCCAGGGCTTTGCATATAATTTATGATTGCTAAAATGTTTTACCTTTTCCTCTTTTTTGCAATTAGGGTCACTGCTACTACCATGGAAATGTGCAAAGATACCCTGATTCTTCAGTTAGTCTCAGTACCTGCTCCGGACTCAGGTAAGTGACTTCTCTACAGACATCTTGGAGTCTTTACTATATTAAATATCCTAGTAGCTGATGAGGCTTTGGTTTGCCCTTTTCTAAAAAAACATTTGGTTTGTATGTGATGTTGCAACCTCATTATTAAACTTAGATGTGGGAACCAAGAATGAGAGAATGTCTTGCAGCTGAATAGAGTAGGGCATCCAAAATACAGGGGAAGTCCCATGGTAGCTCCCGCAGTTGTGACCATCTTAACATATACTGGTAGTCTGTTCTGACCATACGTTGGCAGATATGTCCATAGGATTTGAAAAATGTGATTTCCTTTCAGTTCTCTGCATCCTCACAGCCATTCCCCCATTTTAGTGAGCCTTGATATCCACTAGGAATGACAGAACTGCTGTGCAGCTATTAACTTTTGCAGCTTCAAACAGCCCAGTAGTTCTGAGAATTTGATATGGTGAAGCTTAATAAACTGTGTTGATGAAAGATATGACACTTAACATTATCATCTATACTATTTGTTAACAAAAATTAATATTTTCAAGGAAAATAAATTAAATTAACCAATTTAATAATTTCTCAGGTTACAGAAAGGTGCCGACTGATAATATTTTTTTAAATACATGATGGACACAACTCAGGAAACAATTACCTGCCTTAGCTGGACAATCCGAGACTATTCATAAAGCCATTCCAAATCACAGTAATTAACTGTAAATTGGCTCTAGTGTTCTCCCTGGAAAACCAGTGTTCCTGTCAAATTTCCAGCTGTCTCAGACTTTCTGATTTGTTTAAATAAAATACAAACCGCACAAGTAGTTGGGAACTCCCCATCCCCTTGTTTTTACATTTTGCCTGGCAGTGGTATTGTCAAGGCTTTGATATTGTAGTTTTGGCAATGGTGGGAGTAGAAAGGGGAGAAAACAGTGAAGCAATTAATTACCAAAATTCTTGCCTCCATTAAACGATGATTTTGGTCATACTTAGTAGGACTCCATTAGTTCCTTCCACCAAGAAAATATTTTTAGGGATACCTTTTCTATATCCCTAGCTTGTCTCCCAAAGTTTACTCTTTTTAATTTATTAAATGCAGCATTATAGAAAGCACATATATGCTATTGTTAAGGCAGTGCCTCTTAACTATTTCAAACAGCTGTATATTTAAAATGAAAACAGTGCTAAAGATGCCTACTATGGTTGATAGAAATTGCATGTTCTTTGCCCAAACAGGTTTTCCCGTATTTCCCTGCCAATGCATTTCAACCATATTCTAGCAGAAGATCAGTTAGGGGTGTGAATATATCCCAGTATCCATACATGTTTAACTATCCACTTCTTTGTTGCGACAGCTCAAAGAATAATCCATATCCAGTTTTGCAAAAGGGACACCTACTGACTTGGTCCATAAAACACATTTCAACTCCTGGCAGGCAATAATACCTGTCAATAATTTGAGTGTGATTTGAACCAGGAATGTGTAGTTGAAAGGCTCTTACAATATTGGTTTCTGGAACCATTCATTCCCTTTAATAAAATGAGTTAGAAGTAAAAGGCCAGATAATGCAAAATTCTGGGGACTTGCTACAAATCCTAGGAGCTCTCAGCATGTTGCAGGATTGAGCTCACAGTACACTGTATACTTCTCCCAGGAACACTTTTGATACATTTAGCAATGTGTCCCTTTAGAGTTTATGTGGAAAGATTTACTGCACTTGATCCAGCCTGAGATAAAATGTGAGAAGAAATATGAAAGTGTAAGACAACTTCACAGCTTACTGCTGACATCTCTTGTGTCAGAAACTTTATAAAGTGCATATAGAGCAGTTATTAGCGTGAATGCTTTATTAGTTATGCACAAAAATTCTTTAAAACAATGCAAGATATTCAGAGCCGAGGCAGTAATTTGCTCCTTAACACACTCTATTGTATCTGAGTGTTGTATAAATTAGGGCATAATATATAACAATGCAAAGCTGAAGTGTTAGAATTTCCCTTGCTTTTGTTGCTTTCCCCTCCAGGCTCTGTTCTGATCTGATATAGAACAAGGAATTCTAGATCTATGTAGAATTTCACAAGAAAGCATTGCATTGCAGCCAGGGGCAATGAAGGGAGAGTCTGGTGCTCAGAGATATACTCTGTTTGGCTCTGCCACATAGCTGCTATGTAAATTCAAACACATCAACTAACCCTTCTGTCCCTCAGTTTCTCCAGCTGGAAAATGTGGACAATCATACTTACCTTTTTCCCCATAGTGTTCCCCGAGGCTTCACGTTTAGTGCCGTAAGGTCTTCTAATGAAAGAAAATGCAACATATAAATATTTCATTTAAATTTTACAATGCCAATGTTCTCCCATGTGAAACTAGTCATCATTTTGGACTCTTTTTCCATTTATTTAGGAATACTAAGCATATTTTCCTATAAAGTAAGTGGTTAAAAGGCTAGAAACTGACTCCAAAGGACAGGTTACACCTTTTAGAAAGCTGTAAAGCATAAATATACCTAATGGCACATAGCTAAGCACTTAGGATATATCGTTAGCTTATAAATATGGCATTTGATTTTTATGCCTGTCTTGTGTTGTACAAAGGATAGTGTGAACCTGGAAAATTCAGATGAGGTTTGTAAAGCTCCATCTCTTCTGTACATGGAGAGCTAGGTATAGAGATAACTGAAATGTAGCGAGAGAAAAGGACTCATTACTTTTCTCCATAGACACTCACGTATTCCCACTGTGATGCATCCCCTCAGACATAACATTAGAATGTCTTGCTTCACTTAGGATTACAATGGTATAAATACTTGGAGCGATGCTGATAACTACCTAAAATGTAGGTTAAGCGAGAATGTAATCACACTGTTATCTGTATACAGCTTAGCTTTTTTGGAGGAGGAGGCGCTGAGTGGCAGGAGAGAGACTATATACATTGAATACATGAAATGAGTAGGATGGATAGTCAGTGCTTCCAGCATTTCTCTCCAGATAAGAAGGCCAATTAGATATCAAGACTCCTGGGAAGGTGAACATTTGGACAAGGCAAAGTCATTTCCTTCCTGTCCTACAAAAAGTACTCTGCTTTCTTTCCCACCAGAGAGGCCCTTTAGTTAGCAGAATGCAAAGTTATCTTCTGGGCATGGTTTACAGCCCCCATATCCAGATATGCTTGTGAAACCTTACATTTGTACTCACCTGCATGTTCACTTTTCCAGTACCTACCCTTGCATGTTTATGAGGACAGAATAAAGCCCATTCATCTGTAGAGTTTGCATGTAAGCACCCCTTACCTGAAGGTATAGGTGCAATTGCTGGAGTGCTGCTCCAGTACATACATTAGTGAAAGCCATGTTGAGAGCTCCCTAACAAGCAGAGCCTGTGAAATTTTGGTGAAATTTTCAGAAGTGCATCAGTAATTTAGGAGCATGAATATCATTGGAACTTCTGTTCCTGAATTGCTTACATCCTTTTCAGAAAATCTAGATGTGTCCAAGTGTTTTACAGAATTGCTAAATAATAAAGACAACACATTTACATATGTGTGATATATTTAATAACTGCAACCCAAAAAGAAAATGTAAGGAGTTGTATTTTTGTGATGCGTTATGTGGAACCAGTAACATCATGTTCCATCCATTTGCCCGATAATCTGTTTGAACGTGTTACATATGGTTAACATTTTGGATGTTGTCAAATGGGGCAAAGCTTTAATTTAATCATAACTATGCAGTATGTTTTCTTGGTGAAATTTTTCAAGCTTATTTTTTTCTTTTCTGTCCAGGAAGGACATTTTTGGCCAACTTCATGTTAGGTGGTCAGTGTAGTCCAGAAAGATAAGAGTCTGGAAAAAGAGAGGGTTATTTCACCTTTTGGCAGATAACTTAATTGGACTGTGAACTACTTGACCTTGAGACATTTTACATACCAGAGCATTTTATGGAAGTTATGGACCCCTTTTAAGGCTTTAAGGAAGTTATGCCTGTGAAGGCTGGCAAACCACAAAGGCTGGCAAAACATTTTGGAGCAGCATTTTTATGCAAGTTATGGACCCTGCTTTATGGACCCCTTTTAAAGCTGTAACTGTTTTTTTTTATTTTTTATATTGATATATATTAATTATAATAGAATTATATCCTTGCATGTACACATTTCTTGTTGATTCCTTGGTTTGACTCCCCCTCTGGTTTCTTTGTGAGCACAGCATTTCTTTCACTGTTCTGACAATCCTAGAGTGAGTGACACTTTTTTCAGCTGCTTATGCATAGTCATTCCCATCAATTGCATTGCCTTGGGAATTTAAAAAAGGAGAAAATAAAAACTTCTAGAGGCTGTATGATTTATAAAAGCTCCTTACAGATCCTAAATCTGAGGCCAGGTTTCACTTGAGGGTGTCTGCCGATTCCCTCCATTACTTACTACACAGCAGGACAAGGTATTTCATTAAAATATCATTGATGTTACCTTCCTTTCCTCTTTCCTTTGTTCCTTCCTTCCTTCCTCTCACTCTTCAGCTCTATTTCCTAGTCCATCTTGTCACCCTTCTGGTAAAGCTCACTTATAACACTTCCTCTGATAACACACAATTACTGTACCTTGACTTCCAAGTATAGGACATTAAATCCTGTTATCACTCTTATTGAATTCTGGGTTTCAGACCTATATGTGGTCACAGTGGATAAATCTGTCTTGCTATGTAAAAAGATTAACCTGCTACCTAGGTGTTACAGTAGTCTCTGAATAATTTCTACATCCTGTGCTGTGGAATACATTTGTCAGGTTGATGAAGGGCATTAACTAGCATACAGCAAGTTTGTGTGCACAGGGGATATACTTACATGAAAATACCATTGTGGCTACCTTTGGATCTAAAAACAGAAAAAGATTATTTTAGCTTCAACCTTGATTTCTTGTCTTTTTTTGAGTTACATCAAAACTCTTATTATTTTGATAGAGTTCTATGTAGGTAATACTGCTACTACTGCTGTGGTTACCTAACTCTTACTAGTACATTTCATCGG